GGTCCTACTTGTCTAGGTCTAAGTGACTAGTATGCTAACTGCCATGGGACCTAGTTAAATAAGTGAACATGCATGTGGACAAAAAAAAAAAAAAAAAAGAAGGTGCTTGGAGAAACAAAAAAAAAAAAAAAAGCAGCAATATTGCAGATCCCACTTTAGAAGGAAATGTTTAGTTTTTACTATGCTTTGTTCAACCCAATATGATTTCTCATGTGCCATGAGCTGGGTATTATATAGCACATGCTTGATGAGCAGTGGTGAATAAGCGTGCCCTCAAGATCCTCTAGTGCTGTGTTTCTCAAGTCCAGGTGTCCATTAGAATCATGTTAGAGAGCTTTTAAAACACTGTTGTTCTCAAGCTCCACCCCAGACCAATTTATTGAAATTTTCTGGGGTTGGGACCTAGGTATCAGAATGCTTTAAAATTCTCCAGATTATTTTAATGTTCAGCCAGGCTTAAGAAGAAGTCCTGGTCTAGTGAATGACTAGTGGTCTAGTCCTGGTCTCTCTCCTGCTTCTGTTTTCCATGGCCTCTGATCTAACCCAGCAGATGCTGAATCCCTTTAAGAATTTAGACTGGCTTGGGCTACACTCTTTGGGTCCCCTCCCTTTGTATGGGAGCTCTGTTTTCACTCTGTTAAATTTCGCAACTGCACACTCTTCTGGTCTGTGTTTGTTACGGCTTGAGCTGAGCTTTCACTCACCATCCACCACTGCTGTTTGCTGTTGTCGCAGACCCGCTGACTTCCATCCCTCCGGATCCGGCAGGGTGTCCGCTGTGCTCCTGATCCAGCGAGGCGTCCATTGCCACTCCCGATCGGGCTAAAGACTTGCCATTGTTCCTGCATGGCTAAGTGCTTGGGTTTGTCTTAATCGAGCTGAACACTAGTCACTGTGACCCATGGCTTCTAATAGAGCTATAATACTCACCGCATGGCCCAAGATTACATTTCTTGGAATCTGTGAGGCCAAGAACCCCAGGTCAGAGAACACGAGGCTTGCCACCATCTTGGAAGTGGCCCACCGCCATCTTGGAAGCAGTCCTCCACCATCTTGGAAGCAGTCCTCCACCATCTTGGAAGCAGCCCTCCACCATCTTGGGAGCTCTGGGAGCAAGGACCCCCCCGGTAACATTTGGCGACCCAGGTGGGACCCCCCCAGCAATGGGAAATGTTCCCCCCAAGGCAAAAATGCCCCTAAGATGTATTCTGGAGAACTGGGACCAATTTGACCCTCAGACGCTAAGAAAGAAATGATTTATATTCTTCTGCAGTACCGCCAGGCCACGATATCCTCTTCAAGGGGCAGAAACCTGGCCTCCTGAGGGAAGTATAAATTATAACACCATCTTACAGCTAGACACTTTTGTAGAAAAGGAGGCAAATGGAGTGAACTGCCATATGTACAAACTTTCTTTTCATTAAGAGACAACTCGCAATTATGTAAAAAGTGTGATTTATGCCCTACAGGAAGCCCTCAGAGTCCACCTCCCTACCCCGGCTTCCCCCCCGACTCCTTCCCCAACTAATAAAGGACCCCCCTTCAACCCAAACGTCCAAAAGGAGATAGACAAAGGGGTAAACAATGAACCAAAGAGTGCCGACATTCCCTGATTATGCCCCCTCCAGGCAGCGGGAGGAGAAGAATTTGGCCCAGCCAGAGTGCATGTACCGTTTTCTCTCTCAGACTTGAAGCAAATTAAAATAGACCTGGGTAAATTCTCAGATAACCCTGATGGTTATATTGATGTTTTACAAGGGTTAGGACAATCCTTTGATCTGACATGGAGACATATAATGTTATTGGCTAGATCAGACACTAACCCCAAATGAGAGAAGTGCCGCCATAACTGCAGCCCGAGAGGTTGGCGATCTCCAGTATCTGTTAGGTCAATGACAGGATGACTACAGAGGAAAGAGAACGATTCCCCACCGGCCAGCAGGCAGTTCCCAGTGTAGACCCTCATTGGGACACAGAATCAGAACATGGAGATTGGTGCCGCAGACATTTGCTAACTTGCGTGCTAGAAGGACTAAGGAAAACTAGGAAGAAGCCTATGAATTATTCAATGATGTCCACTATGACACAGGGAAAGGAAGAAAATCCTACCACCTTTCTGGAGAGACTAAGGGATGCATTGAGGAAGCATACCTCTCTGTCACCTGACTCTATTGAAGGCCAACTAATCTTAAAGGATAAGTTTATCACTCAGTCAGCTGCAGACATTAGGAAAAAACTTCAAAAGTCTGCCTTAGGCCTGGAGCAAAACTTAGGAACCCTATTGAACTTGGCAACCTCGGTTTTTTATAATAGAGATCAGGAGGAGCAGGCAGAACGGGACAAATGGGATTAAAAAAAGGCCACTGCTTTAGTCATGGCCCTCAGGCAAGTGGACTTTGGAGGCTCTGGAAAAGGGAAAAGCTGGGCAAATTGAATGCCTAATAGGGCTTGGTTCCACTGCAGTCTACAAGGACACTTTAAAAAAGATTGTCCAAATAGAAATAAGCTGCCCCCTCGTCCATGCCCCTTATGTCAAGGGAATCACTGGAAGGCCCACTGCCCCAGGGGACGAAGGTCCTCTGAGTCAGAAGCCACTGACCAGATGATCCAGCAGCAGGACTGAGGGTACCGGGGCAAGCGCCAGCCCATGCCATCACCCTCACAGAGCCCCGGGTATGCTTGACCATTGAGGGCCAGGAGGTTAACTGTCTCCTGGACACTGGCGTGGCCTTCTCAGTCTTACTCTCCTGTCCCGGACAACTGTCCTCCAGATCTGTCACTATCTGAGGGGTCCCAGGACAGCCAGTCACTAGATACTTCTCCCAGTCATTAAGTTGTGACTGGGGAACTTTACTCTTTTCACATGCTTTTCTAATTATGCCTGAAAGTCCCACTCTCTTGTTAGGGAGAAACATTCTAGCAAAAGCAGGGGTCATTAGACACCTCAACATAGGAGAAGGAACACTCGTTTGCTGTCCCCTGCTTGAGGAAGTAATTAATCCTGAAGTCTAGGCAACAGAAGGACAACATGGACGAGCAAAGAATGCCCATCCTATTCAAGTTAAACTGAAGGATTCCGCCTCCTTTCCCTACCAAAGGCAGTACCCCCTTAGACCCGAGGCCCAACAAGGACTCCAAAAGATTGTTAAGGACCTAAAAGCCCAAGGCCTAGTCTTTATGTGTCACAGAAAAAACAGGAATAGCTCTAGGAGTCCTTACACAGGTCTGAGGGATGAGCTTGCAACCCATGGCATACCTGAGTAAGGAAACTGATGTAGTGGCAAAGGGTTGGCCTCATTGTTTATGGGTAGTGGCAGCAGTAGCAGTCTTAGTATCTGAAGCAGTTAAAATAATACAGGGAAGAGATCTTACTGTGTGGACATCTCATGATGTGAATGGCATACTCACTGCTAAAGGAGATTTGTGGCTGTCAGACAACCGTTTACTTAAATATCAGGCTCTATTACTTGAAGGGCCAGTGCTGCGACTGCGCACTTGTGCAACTCTTAACCCAGTCACATTTCTTCCAGATAATGAAGAAAAGATAGAACACAACTGTCAACAAATAATTGCTCAAACCTACGCCGCTCAAAGGGGACCTTCCAGAGGGTCCCTTGACTGATCCCAATCTCAACTTGTATACTGATGGAAGTTCCTTTGCAGAAAAAGGACTTCAGAAAGTGGGGTATGCAGTGGTCAGTGATAATGAAATACTTGAAAGTAATCCCCTCACTCCAGGAACTAGTGCTCAGCTGGCAAAACTAATAGCCCTCACTTGGGCACTAGAATTAGGAGAAGGAAAAAGGGTAAATATATATAGAGACTCTAAGTATGCTTACCTAGTCCTCCATGCCTACGCAGCAACATGGAGACAAAGGGAATTCCTAACTTCTGAGGGAACAGCTATCAAACATCAGGAAGCCATTAGGAGATTGTTATTGGCTGTACAGAAACCTAAAGAGGTGGCAGTCTTACACTGCCAAGGTCATCAGAAAGGAAAGGAAAGGGAAATAGAAGGGAACTGCCAATTAGATATTGAAGCCAAAAGAGCCACAAGACAGGAACTTCCATTAGAAATGCTTATAGAGGGACCCCTAGTATGGGGTAATTCCCTCCTGGAAACCAAGCCCCAGTACTCAGCAGGAGAAATAGAATGGGGGAAACTCACAAGGACATAGTTTCCTCCCCTCAGGATGGCTAGCCACTGAAGAAGGAAAAATACTTTTGCCTGCAGCTAACCAATGGAAATTACTTAAAACCCTTCACCAAACCTTTCACTTAGACATTGATAGCACCCATCAGATGGCCAAATTATTATTTACTGGACCAGTCCTTTTCAAAACTATCAAGCAGATAGTCAGGGCCTGTGAAGTGTGCGAAAGAAACAATCCCCTGCACTGCAGGCCATACATTTCAATCCCTGTATCTTTAACCTCCTTGTTAAGTTTGTCTCTTCCAGAATCGAAGCTGTAAAACTATAAATCATTCTTCAAATGGAGCCCCAGATACAATCCATGACTAAGATCTACCACAGACCCCTGGACCAGCCTGATAGCCCAGGCTCCGATGTTGATGATATCGAAGGAACCCCACCTGAGGAAATCTCAACTGCATGACCCCTACTATGCCCCAATTCAGCACTAAGCAGAGCGGTTGTCAGCCAACCTCCCCAACAGCACTTGGGTTTTCCTGTTGAGAGGGGGAACTGAAAGACAGGACTAGCTGGATTTCCCAGGTTAAGAATCCCTACGCTTAGCTGGGAAGGTGACCGCATCCACCTTCAAACACGGGGCTTGCAACTTAGCGCACACTCGACCAGACCAATCAGGTACTAAAGAGAGCTCTCTAAAATGCTAATTAGGCAAAAACAGCAGGTAAAGAAATAGCCAATCATCTATCGCCTGAGAGCACAGCAGGAGGGACAATGATCGGGATATAAACCCAGGTATTCGAGCCAGCAATGGCTACCCTCTTTGGGTCCCCTCCCATTGTATGGGAGTTCTGTTTTCACTCTATTAAATCTTGCAACTGCAACTGCAACTGCAAAAAAAAAAAAAAAAAAAATTTAGACTGGCTCTGTTACTGGGCTGTTTGCTTGGTCACTTTTTTCTGCTACTGGAGGTGGACAAGGTCTCTTCTGCACCATTATGAAACCATCCAAGGACTGTTCACCAGTTGACTGTGGCAGATTAAGCCTGACATCACATCAGGTCATTGAGGAAATCACTTCTTTCATGATTCTTTTTGGCCCAGAGGCTAGAACCAGGTTGACGTCAGTCTCCATGAATCAGCTTCCCAAACCAGACACAGACTTTTTTGGAATGTGATAGCTCACCTGAAACAAATATGAAACCAAATTTTTGCCATGTTCTACTAAACAATACAGGTACCTTAATTTTCTGTCAGCCTTGGGAATTTAAGTGAATAGGACTCTTTAAAATATAAAATACCTGCCTAATTGTAAACTCGAAATGAAGTTTACAAAGTTAGTTTCAAATGGGCTTCAAAAGAGGAAAAATACATTTTTACTTAATAGTTTTTAGACAGTTCCCATTTATGTACACAACTCTATTTCATAATTTTAATTCCTTTTACTAAAAAAGGTTTTTTCTCATATCAAGTATGACTGATGCTCTACTATGCAATGCACATAATATTGTTTGTTATCTTCCAGGTTTGTAATTTTCTGGGGCTGCCAAATGCTGACTAAATTATTTGTAGTAGTCAGCTCCCAGTGGGGTTTCTCCTTTTGAGTTCAGATGGGACAGCTATCTCTATATTTTCATTGTATTTGTGTAACATCTTTTATGCTTTGTGTGATTTTAAACAGTATTTTATCTAGAACTGTATAAATCATAAAAATGACAAAATTTAAAACATGCAGTTAATAACCCACAAAAATAAAGTCAGCATAAGAGAAAGCAAAAATACCTGTTTTTTTAGAGGAGAAGCAATTCTTTCTATATTCTTCTCTTTCTTTTTTTCTATTTTTTTGAATGGCAAGAATGTAGGTGGTTTCTGATGAAGCTCTTTCTCATGCAACTGGAAAGCTCACCCAGCTGAAAGGCTGGCTGTCTCTTAGTCACAAAGCTGAAAAAGTTTCCTAAGATTGAGAGAAAATGGGAATGTGAAGAAAGTCAAGAAAAATGAAGTCCACTTGTTTCCTGCTTGATGTTTATGCAGGTTTAAAAAGATGACATTAGAGCAAAATTCTACAAGGAGTTCTGGGCTTTGCTGTTGATGTAAATCCAGCAGTTTGGCTCAGACAGGGTCTTGAGTGTGGTTTCATGAATTTGTTCTTCCAATGAAACTCACTGACCACCTCTGTGCCAGTCTCTGCTCCACACTTAGGACCTAACATTAAATTGGACAAGGTCCTTGCCCTCAGCGAGTCTTCCTGTCATCTTGCGGAGGTGCCTATAATCTATAGCCCTCAAATTACATGGATGAGAAACTGTATCTTACCAGTTTTCCCTGGAATGTTCACTGTATGGAGAGTTGACTTATCCCAAAGAAAATCCCAACAGACTAATTATAAATCAAAATATGTGAGAGCTGGTACAAACCCCTTCACAACTCATTTCCTACTTACCTCCCAGGCCAATTCCACTTATATTTTAATATAATTTTTAAAATTATATAATATTTTATAAAATATTATAAAATTATATTTTATAATATAAAAATTATTAAATATTTATATATTTTATACATATATAATTAAATATTTATATATTTTATACATATATAAAAATATATACATATTTGCATATATACATGTTCTAAAATATAGATAGACAGATAGATAATTTAAGTCAGTACTTGCTATGCATGGAAAAAGAAGCTAATATCTAAACATCCAAATGACCTGTGCCTAGCATTGAGCTAGGTGTGGTTATCTCATCCAATGTAGACTATATAACAACTACAAGATAAGTATTTTTATGCTCATTTCATGTAATGCAGAAATAGAAGCCTGTAGATGGTAGGCTGCCCAAAGTCATACAGCTAGCAAAGGGTGAATCCCAGATTCCAGGAGGCTTGTCTGATTTCAGAGGCCTTCCAATTCATGATCATAATCTCCTTATTGAGATCATCTTTCCCTCTTAGGTCAGAGGCAGTTAATTCTTTCTACTTATTCCAGGTGTCAACTACTTACTTAAGGTCATCTAATCTACCTGTCCCAAACAATTTTTTTAAAAAAAGTCAAACACATTTCTTCCATTTGGTTTGTTAACTATGGAAAGAGCAGACATTTTCCCAACTTGGGGCATAATTTCTAGGATCTAAACATACCACAAGTTGGTTATTTCATCATGGTCCCATTGAGCAAAAAAAGAAAAAAGAAGTAATAATATTTTTTATTTTTTCCCTTCTTCCTTCCTTGCCTCCTTTCTTCTATTCTTTCTTGTTGTTTCATTTTCTTTCTTCCTTCTATTCCTGGTTTACTAAGCACCGTGTACTAGGCAAAGTGTACTCATACCTTGGTGTAAAAAAACAAATGCATATATGTATTTATCAGGAAATAGGATACATATAATAATAGAAATACACTCAAAATATAGTTCCAGCCTAGATGAGGATGTGATTAACTCCATTCTGGAGAACATGGAGCCAGAAAAATTTTCACAAAGATGCTTGATCTAAACATTGACGGATGAGTGAGGAAGAGAAAGGGTGGTTTAGGAAGAGGACAGAGTATGAAAAGCTTGGGGACATCTCTGGTGGCTGCAGATTCCTATATTAGTGACCATTATTACAATATCAGAAGAAGAAAGAGGGTGTAGAAAGGTTAGAGCTGAGCAAATATTGTATTACTATTGTCAAACACTGTATTGCTATTGGCAAAGTGTCCAAAACCAAGTATCCTGCTGCTCTCAGCACTGTTAGAGTGAAAGGTGAGGCAGCTGCAGGAATGGCAGCAAGCCAGTCCATGTTGCTGGAATGGCTTTCCTCTCCTGGAAATTATGATATGAAGTGCTTAATTTTTAAGAGAATAATTTCTGTTTGTTATAAAAAAAGTCAGTTGACGTGCAAATTAGAGCATGCTGTATTGCAGAGCATTTATTTTCCAGCAAATATTTGTTTATGTAGCCGACATTTCAAAATAAAATCTAAAAGTTACTTTTATGTCAGCATTATCACTGTTGTCATAACTTTATATTTTTGGCTAAATAACAGTAGGTATCTATTTTGTAGGCTGCTGTAAATCAACTTAAGTAGGCAAGTTATGAAAATTATAGTAAATGACTATACATCCAGAACATAATATATTGTATTTTCATTAAGCCATAGTAATTTAAATTTTCTGGTAATGATAGACTAACTTGTTCCAGACTAGTTTTTTCACTGAGAGTAATTACAAAGTTCAACAAAATAAAAGACATCTTTTGGAAGGGAATAGAGAGCTACCAAAGTAACAAGGACTTGGGAGGCCAAAAATCTCAGAGAGAAGGCAAGGCCAAAGGAATGACCCCAATACTCAGTGTAGCTAAGTGGTGGACAAGAGGCTGAGAGCTGAGCAAATTATAGGGACAGGGTCTGTAGGGATCACCTAGGAGGATCTCTTGATTTTGGCTGATACTACCAAAGGGCTTAACTCTAAAAGTACAGTTGAACTGGAAATAGACTAACACTCACAAAGGTAGTGCTCAGATCATTTCAATTCTTGGTATAAATAAATAATCTGCATACCAAGAAACAAGATGATCTGGCCAAAAAAAAAAAAAAAAAAAAATTCCCAGGAAGAAATGGACAATGGAAACAGCCCCACATGGATCAACATATTGCTGCTGGGAGGCAGAGCTAGATGGTAGAAGAGAAGACTCCACCAATTGTGTCCCCCCGCAACAACAATTTAACAACTATCTATACACGAAAAAGCACCTTTATAAGAACCAAAAATCAGGTGAGCACTCACAATATGTGGTCTGGTTTTGGCTTTGTATCACTGAAGGAGGCACTGAAGAAGTAGGACAGTCTTGAATCACCAGTGCCACCCTTCCTCCATCTCCTGGCAAAATGGCTTGGTGTAAAGAGCATTTTTGTGCCTTGGGGAGAGGGAGAGCTGGCAACTGTGAGACATTGAACTCAGTGTGTTTTCCTATTATAGCAGAAAGGAAACTGGACCACACTCAGCTGACACCTGCCTACAGAAGGAGCATTTAAACCAGCTGTAGCCAGAAGGGAACCACTGATCCCAATGGTCGGAACTTGAGTTCCTGAGAGGCTCGCCACTGCAGGTTGAACTGTTATGGGGCTCTAAATAAACTCAAAAGGCCATCTAGGACACAAGCACTGTAACTCCTAGGCAAGTTCCCATGCTGAACTGGGCCCAAAGCCAGAGGACTTGGTTGAGTGGGGAGGACATGTGACCTACTGAGACACCAGCTAGGGCAGCTAAGGGAGTGCTGGCATCACCCCTCCCCTAACCCCAGGCTGCACAGTTCATGGTCCAAAAGAGATCTCTCCCTCTCCTTTAGGAGTAGAGAGGGTAGAGTGGGAAGCACATAGTCTTGCTTCCTGGATACAAGCTCAGACATAGCAGGACAGGGACAGGACAGCCCTCAGAGTTGTGAGGCCCCCATTCCAAGCCCTAGTTCCTGGATGACATTCCTAGACACACCCTTGGGCCAGAAGGGAACCTGTTACCTTCAAGGGAAGGACCCAGTCCTGGCAACATTCATCACCTGCTAACTAAAGAGACTTTGGGCCCTGAATAACCAGCAGCGATGCCTAGATACTACATCAAGGGCCTTGGGTGAGACTCAGACTTATTGGCTTCAGGCGAGACTTGGCACCTTCCCGCCTGTGGTGGTTACGGGGCAAGACTCCTGCTTGAGAAAAGCAGAGGGAAAAGTAAAGAGGACTCTGTCATGCACCTTAGAGACCAGCTTGGTACCTAAGGTGACAGATAAGTGGGCTTTTGAGTTCCTTGATTTCAGGATTTGGCCCCTGGACAGCATTTATGGACCATTTATGGACCCCAGGGCCATGAGGGAACACAGGCAGTAGCCAGGAAGCGGTTAAAGTAGGCCTTGGGTGAGACCCAGTACTGTGCTGACTTCAGGTCTCACCCTGTGGTGGTGGCCATAGGGGTGCTTGTGTCACTCTACCCCCAGCTCCAGGTGGCTCAGAACAGAGAAAGACTGTTTGGGAGAAAGTAAGGGAAGAGAATGAGAGTCTCTGCCTGGTAATCCAGACAATTCTCCCAGATCTTGTCCAAAATCATCAAAACAATAGCTACATGAGTCTGCAGGACCACAGCATTACTAGGTTTGGAATGCCCCCTAAAACAGATGCAGTTTAGATCACAACACCCAAGTACCTTCAAATATCTAGAAAGCTTTCCCAAGAAGGATGGGTACACAGAAGCCCAGACATGGAAGACTACAATAAATACCTAACCCTTCAATGCCCAGACACAGATTAACATCTACAAGTATCAGGACAATCCCAGAAATCATGACTTCATCAAGTAAACTAAATAAAGCACCAAGAACCAATCCTGGAGAAAAAGAGATATCTGGCCTTTCAGACAGAGAATTCAAAATAGCTGTTTTGAGGAAACTCAAAGAAATTCAAGATAACACAGGGAAGTAATTCAGAATTCTATCAAAGAAATTTAACAAAGAGATTGAAATAATTAAAAAAGAATGAAGCAGAAATCCTGTAGCTGAAAAATGAAATGGGCATCCTGAAGAAGGTATCAGAGCCTTTTAATGGCAGAATTGATCAAGAAGAAAGAATTAGTGAACTTGAAGACAGGCAATTTGAACATACACAGTCAGAGAAAACAAAAGAAAAAATAATTTAAAAAAAATGAAACACACCTATAAGATCTAAAAAACAGCCTCGAAAGGGCTACTGCCCTTAAAGCAGAAGTAGAGAAAGAGATGGGGGTAGAAAGTTTATTCAAAGGTATAATAACAGAGAACTTCCCAAACCTAGAGAAAGATATCAATATCTGAGTACAAGAAGGCTATAGAACACCAACTCTGTCATGCACCTTAGAGACCAAGCAATTTAATCCAAAGAAGTCTACCTCAAGGCATTTAATAATCAAACTTCCAAAGATCAAGAATAAAGAAAGGATCCAAAAAG